GTGGCCGCTGGGCCGGGCGCCGGCCTGCGCTCCGCTTGGGGGCCGGTGCTGAATCTGGGGGCCGAGGCTGGAGGTTCTGAGGCCAGGTGGTGGGCACTGGCCAGCACCCCTGCCCGCTGGCCCCGACGCAGGGCCTCTCGCGCCCTTCCCCACAGGGCCCTGACGGTTACGCGGGGGAAGCTGGCAGTCCTGGGGAGCAAGGAAGACAGGGTGTCAAGGTAGGCGGCTGCGGGGCGGCACCCCCACCCCACAGAGGGCCTGTCCCCACAAGCGGACAGCAGAGAGGGTCCCGGGACCCTGCTGGGCGGGGGTGCGCACTCCGCCTTGGGGTAGCGCTGGCCCAGGCCGGGTCGCCCGGACGCGAGACGGGTGGGCGGTGTCCGGGCCGTCTCGGGCTCCGGCACCCACACGCGTGCTCAGGGGCGGGCCTCAGGGTCCTGCCTGCCCCGCCGACCTCTCCTCACCTTCCAGGGGGACCCAGGCCGCCCGGGGCGCAGAGGGCCCCCCGGAGACAGCGGACCCAAAGGAAGCAAGGCAAGTGCGCTGTGCCCCGTGCAGCCTCCCGGCCCACATGGGGTCGGGGTGGAGGCTGGACGGGCAGCGTCCTCCTCCCTGAACCCCTCCTCCACAGGGTTACCAGGGCGACAACGGAGCCCCCGGCAGCCCTGGCGTGAAGGGGGCCAAGGGCGGGCCTGGACCCCGAGGACCCAGAGGCGAGCCTGTGAGTCTGCCAGCCCGCAGCACGGCACCCGTGGGGTGCCCGCCCTGGCACGCCCCCGCGGCCCCCAGCCAGTCCGGCCCGCCCGACCCATGCTCCCGGCAGGGGCCAGCCCCACCTCGCGCCCCACAACCCTGGGCCCACCCTGCGCCCCCTGCCAAGTCCCCCACCTGCCAGCCCACCCAGTCCTCGCACCAGAGCTGTGCAGGCCGAGGCCCAGACGCCACACACAAAGCCCTCTGGGGAGAGCAGGCACGGACAGGTGCCCCCAAGGTGGGGCGCCCGCCAACACCCCACTCCCTGCAGGGACGCCGAGGAGACCCCGGAATTAAGGGTGGCCCAGGCAGCAGTGGCCCCAAAGGAGAAAAGGTGGGTGTCCACCAGGTGGCGTCTGGCGGGCAGGAGGAGGGAAGGGCCACCCTGCTGAGTCCCCGGGGGGCAGCCGGACCCCTGCCCCCCTGGGACCCTGACCCCAGACCCCGGCCCCCGCCCCCCGGGGAGAGCAGGACCCCCAACCACACCCCCGCGTCCCCCCAGGAGCCTGACGGGCCCACCCTTCGTTGGGGGGGCAGGCAGGTCAGCACTGCCGGCGGGCGGGGCCACACGCCCTGCGGGAGACCTGCCCTGTGCCCAGCCCTGGCCCCTGAGACCCTCTTTTCTCACAGGGGGACCCTGGCCCTGAGGGGCCACGGGGCCTGGCTGGAGAGATCGGCAACAAAGGTGCCAAGGTCAGTGGCGGAGGGGGGAGGGCGGCGCAGAGGCACCCCGGGCCACCGCGGTCCTGCGGGCCCAGCCCGGCCTCTGGCGGCGGCGGCCCCCACCCGTCCTGCTGGTCAGCAGCAGGCCCCTTGGCCCTTTTCTCCCCAGGGCGACCGCGGCATGCCGGGACCCAGAGGCCCCCCAGGCACCCAGGGGGAGCCGGGGAAGCAGGTCAGCCTCCGCTGAGGGACCCTGCCCACACAGCCCCACGGCCACCGGGCACCCCCCCGCCCTGCGGGGCTGGCCTGGCCGCTGGCTGCAGTGTCTTGGGGTGCACCGGGGCCCCACACCTGCAAGGGGGAGCCGCCTGACCCTCGCGCCTGGCCCCCACCGGGTGGCGTGGAGGGCCTGGCAGCGGTGAGCAGGGACCATCTGTGCCCGCCCGCTCCCTATCTGCCCTCAGGGATCTCGGGGAGACCCCGGTGATGCTGGCCCCCGCGGCGACTCCGGACAGCCAGGCCCCAAGGTACTCCCCCCGCTCTGGCCGGCGAGCCTCGCTGAGGGCTCCAGCGCGCGGTGTCCCTCCCTGCCCGTCCTGCGCGCTGACCCCCTCCCGCCCCACCCCCTGACCACACCCTCCAGGGAGACCCCGGCAGGCCGGGATTCAGCTACCCAGGACCGCGAGGGGAGCCGGTGAGTGCTGCCGCGGCGGGGCCTCCGGCGGGCCAGGGGCCTGGCCACCAGGCGTGGCCGCACGGTCAGCCCGCTCTGTGCTTGCTCCGCAGGGGGAGAAAGGAGAGCCCGGCCCGCGAGGCCCTGAGGTGCGTGGCCAGCGGGACGCGGCCCCCGTGGGGGGGCGCAGCCACCCCCCACAACCCCACCCCCTGGGCTTGGGGGGGCTGGCACCCCGCCCCCCCTAACCCAGACGCACTCTGGCCGAACGGCGGCACCCGGCTGACCCGTCTGTGTTGTCCAGGGCGGCAGAGGAGACTTCGGCATGAAAGGCCAGCCCGGGAGGAAGGGCGCCAAGGGCGAGCCTGTGAGCCCCGCG